TTATCACAAATAAATATTCATGATACCATAAATATTCATTGTAAACTGAAGCAGATGACCATTTAAACCACTTAGCTTAAATCTGAATTGCAATATTTTTCTAATGACCATGTATAAGCTGAGTAATTTAAATAGTCTGCTTCCTGGACCAGCAGATGGCGTAGTGGTTACATCACTGGACTCCCACATGGCTGACCGTGGTTTCAGTCCCATACTGTTTGGCTTGAAAATCACTCCAGGTGTGCATGTCAGGAGGAGAGTGGAGGAGAAGAGAGTGCAGCTGGCTATCCCCCTGGGGGAGATTTCTCACTTTCCCTCTCACTTTCTCTTCTTTTTCCCTCCATCCCATGTGCCCTAAGGCAAACACCTCTTTTAAAAAAATAATCTGCTTCCTAATCTTTCCCTGCATACAAAGCCCACCACCTTTGGTCCTGAATGTCAATGGAAGTCTCTCCACCTCTAGGGATGTTTTTTCTCCTGGACCGTTTTCTGATTCTGGTTCAACTAAGTCCTCCTCCTAGGGGTCTTCTGGCTCTTACAGAGCTCCTCAGCTTTACCTGGGCCTTCTCTGAAGCATCTCAGGTGACCTTAATCTCACGTGGTGTTTGTATTGCTTCAGTTCGTTAATTTATACTTTACAGTCCCTCCCACCCTCCTTGGTATATAGGAAGTTACAGTTAATATGCTCTGTGACTAACTCATGTTTTTCATATCAGTCTTTCAGGCTTTTGTCAGGAATACAACTCCATATTGTAAAATTGTTTTCATAGGAGTGTCAGATTTACTTTTTATATTATTTTGGTGTGCGTGCGTGCATATATATGTGTATGTGTAATTTTTTAGTGACTGCTTATGTAGTTAAAAATAATGAGACAACCTTTTTAAAATTTTAATTTGAGAGGCCAGCAGGTAGTGTTGGCCTATAGGCTGACTGTGGTTCATGCCCTGAACTCGGCAGCTTAAAAATCATACCGGGTGTGTGTGTGCATGCGTGCCCAAAATCCTGAGAGGGGGATGGAGGAGAGATTGTAGCAAGGCCATCCCCCATGAGGGTGTGACTTCTCACTTTTCCTCTCTCTGTCTTTCCAGTGAGCACACATGTCCTATGGGAATAACTTTATTTTTATTTTTTTAAATTTCAGTTCATTTGCAATAATTTGGACAAATCAGATGGAGGAAGATTTATGCTTTCTTGGAGAGCCAGATGTTTAAGTGCCAGAACATGGAGTTATTTTTGAGAACTTCAAGTGTTTTTTGTTTGCTTTTAAGAGAGATTTTTGGTATAAGGTATATACACTCACTAAATAGACTGAGAGAAACAGAGAGACTGAAAGCAAGAACTCACACCCCGGGGGGATGGCCACCCTGCAAACCATTCTCTGCCATTCTCCTCTTAGGATTTTGGGCACACATGCATATGTGTCTGGCTTGAGTTTTAAGCCACCAGGTCTGGCACTTGAATTGTGGTCAACTACAAGGTAGTACAGTGACATAACTATTACGCCATCTAATGGTCCCTAGAACTTAAAGTGTTTTAAAATAATCATTTATTTAGTATGGTCAGTGCCCAGTGGAAAGCATTTTACTGTCTCCTTGTTTAGAAATAAAAAAAGCTGGTTTAACAAATAAGATAAACAAGGACTACTAAGAAAGATATTTAGCCTGATTAAATAATGAAAGTATACAGAATGGGTTTCAAAGACCTCGAAGCTTCTATCTGATCAGTTTCATATGCTAACTGTTCTTTATGTGTAGTAAGAGCACACATGAGAACGGAAGATAGGGCTGGCTCTGTGAGGCAGTGGTAACATGCTGCTTAAGAGAAGCCAGACCCTACGTGGTCACTGTGGCTCTAGGCTCAGTCAGCCTAGCACGCCCTGGGCCCACATGTGAGTACCCGAGATCCAGAGGCTGGAGGACCAGAGGAAGGGACACAGCATGAAGTGAGCCAGTGGAGCGTGCCCAGCTCTCTCGCATGTGCACACACACTCTATCATGAGTAAGGAAAACAATAACGTTTCAAAAAACATAAATGAATGTATAATGAAATTAGTCCACCTTTTCTTCTCCTTCTTTTTTATTTCCTAAATTCATGACGGCTCACATACATGCTGAGAGTGAGGTTGAGAGAAAGAGCGATAGGGAGGGAGGAGACCCTCCACAGAGTCTGGTCACACCATGATCCCCTTCCTTCCGTCCTCCAGCCTGTAAGATCTTGGTGTCTCTGGCTGTGTCATAGAGTTCTTAGATACGGTAATAAAATCAACAGCCTTAAAAGAACAAATGGCTAAAACTGGAGTTCATAAGAAGATGAAACTTCTCTTTAGAAGATGCTCTTTGGAGAAAGAAAAGACACACCACAGACTGGGACAATAATTTTTTTTTTAAGAGGTTTTTTCTGTAGGGCGCGTGCGCTCGCCAGCCAGCCAGACAGACAGAGAGACAGAAAGTGAGAAATCACCCCCCAGAGGGGATGGCCACGCCACAATCCCTTCTCCTCCATTCTCCTCCCGGGATCTTGGGCACGAACGCACATGCGCCCGGCGTGAGTTTTAAGCCACCAGGTCCAGGACGCGAACCGCGGTCTACTATGTGGGAGTCCAGCAACATAGCCATTACGCTAACTGCTGGTCCCGGGAGAATAATTTTTGCCAAACACATATCTTACATGACAGATTGTCAAAAAGTTCATGGAACAGGCATGTTATGATAAAAGTACAAATGAATGTACAATATTTTTTCACTTAAAACATTTTAATATAATTTTCCACAAACTTTTTGAAGTTCTCGTAGATATCCACGATATATTAGAAACTTTCAGAACACATTAACAAAGGAAAAAAATCCAATGAAAATGTCAGAAAAAAAGTATCTATCCAAAACAAATACCTAAAATAATATTTTAATTTAGGTTTTTGCCATAGGGCATGTACATCTGCCAGAGAGAGAAGGAAAGTGAGAAATTGTCCCTCAAGGGTGATGGCCTTGTCACAGTTCCTGCTTCAGTCTCCTCTCAGAATTTTGGGCATGCATGCACACACACCTAGCATAATTTTTAAGGCTCTGGATCCTGGGCTTGAACTGTAGTTGGACAAGTAGGAATCCAGCACCTTAAACCACCACGCCACCTGCTGACCCCTAAAATGATTTTAATCAACCAGTTCACCAAAGAAGATCTAGGGATGACAAAAAGCATAGGAAAAGATGTTCCATATTACTTATTAGTAAAATACGAGTTAAAATCAAGTAAGATACCACTATACACCTAATAGAATGGTTAGGATTAGAAAAACTGACCATACCAAGTGTTAGGGAGGTGTGGAGGAGGAAAAATACCCACAGACTGCTAAATCTATAGATTGCTTTGGATAGCATGGTCATTTTAACAGTGTTCATTCTTTCAGACCATGAGGATATCTTTCCATTTTTGTGTCCTCTTTTTTGAAAAATTTTTAAAATTTTATTCCCAGAGAACACATGTATTCACCAAAGAGAGAGACAGAGAGAAATCAGCCCCAAGGAGGTCAGGTTATGCCACAGTCCTCTTTTCTGCCATTCTCTGTTCCATCACATTTGGGATGTGCACACACACACACACCTCATGTGTTTTCCTTTCTTTGTTTTTTTTTAGCATTCTTTTATTTTAACTTTTTTATTATTGTTATTATTATTTTCCAATTTGACTAGAGAGAAACAGAGAAAGAGAGAGAAAGAGAAGTGAGAAAGGAAGCCAGCAGGTCCAGGACTTGAACCACCAGTGGCCGTGTGGGAGTCCGGTGCCTTTAACAACCATGCCATACTGGCCCCTGCCCCATGTGTTTTTCAAGTTGTCATGTGGGGTCTGCCTTCTAATGCATGGCACTTAACCATTGTGCTATGGTGTGAGCCCTCTTCGGTTTCTTTTATCAGTGTTTTACAGTTTTCATTGTAGAGTTCTTTAACTTCCTTAAATTTAATTTTAGATTTTTTTCTTTTTTGGTAGTCGTTGTACATGGAATTGCAGTATTGATTTCTTTTTCAGCTAGTTCATTAGCAGTTTAGAGAAACACTACTTCCTGATTTTTGTATGTTGATTGGTATCCTCCAATGTTACTGAGTTCATATATCAGTACTAAGAGTATTTTGGGGAAGCATTTGGGTCTTTTCAAGATCCTATTCTCTGCAAACAGAAGCCAGCCAGAAACCCATTTATATACAACTGTAAAATAGGCAGGAATCAGCAAGTGGTATAATGGTTATGTCACTGGATTCCCAAATGGCCAATTGCAGTTTGAGTCCTAGATCTGGTGGCTTCAAACTCATGCCAGGTGTGTGTGTGTGCATACCCAAATCCCAAAAGGAGAGTGGAGGAGAGGGGATTGTGGTGTGGCTATCCCTCCTGGGGGTGACTTCTCATTTTCTGTCTCTCTGTCTCTCTGGTGAGTACACTCACCCTGTAGCAAAAATCTCTCTTAAAAACAAAACAAGAAATACCCTCTAAAAAAGGCAAACTAGTGGCAGAAAACAGTGGATAGGATAGGAAGGGGCAAAAGGGGAGGGTATTACTCATGAGCCAAAGGCAAGTTTTGTGATGTTTACTCACCATATTGATTGGGTAAGTTCCAGGTGTATACATATGCCAAAACTTATCAAATGATATATTTTAAATACATTTTATTGTATGTTAATTATAATTCTGTGAAGCTGCCTAATAAAAAGAAAAAGAAAAAGCAGGGTTTTTTTTGTCAAGATGGATGGTGATGCACTTGGAAATTGTCGGGACAGAGTAAGGTTGAAAAGTTAGTATTTGCATGATGGGTTTACATCAATTATATATATTTTAAAATTTCAAGCCTCTTTTCGTTTTACCACATTTATATGTGTATGTGTGTGTTGTGCTTTTTAAGGTTTGAATGTCAGTAAGCATGTGAATATAAAGGTAATGAAAAAAATGACATTTCCCCCCTTTTTCCTCCTTACTTCTCCTTTCTTTTCTGCTCCTATTTCTTTTTGTTTTAAAGGAGTGACAGTTCATTCAGATTCTTTGTATTCTTCTTCGTGTATATTTGTCAATTTGCTGTACATGTACTCCAGGCTGCAGGATTTCATAATTGGGGTAATTGGTAAGTTATTTACTTTTCTAGTTTTAAGCTGTTAAACTAATAATATCTTTATATAATTTTTGGCTTCAAAAGCAAAAGAAGAGCCAGATTAATAAGAGTAAAGAAATAAAAAGCAAAATAGTTTAAAAAAATGAATTGTGATTTTAAAATGTCCCAAAGTATCCTTTGAACAATATCTTTGAAAATTATATTTATTTATTTATGTATTTATTTATTTATTTACTTTAGGTTTTTGCTATTGGGCATGTATACTTGCCAGTGAGAGAGAGTCAGAGAGAGGGAAAATGAGGGAGGGTGGCCATGCCACAGTCTCTTCTCCTTAAATTTCCTCTCAAAATTTTGGGCATGCATGCACATGTGCCCAGTGTGTGTATGCTGGTTTTTTTTTTTTTTCTGAAAGATTTTTTGTTTTTATTTATTTATTTATTTCTTGGAGAGGTTTCTGCTATAGGGCGCATGCACTTGCCGGAAAGACAGAGAGAGACAGAGATAGAAAGCAAGAAATCACCCCCCAAGGGGCAATCTTCTCCTCCATTCTCCTCTTGGGATCTTGTGCACATATGCACACGTGCCCGACGTGAGTGTAAGCCACTGGGTCTGGGACTCAAACTGCGGTCGACTACATGGGAGTTCAGCGACATAGCCATTATGTTAACTGCTGGTACCCCAGTGTGGTTTTCAAGCCACAGGATCCAGGACTTGAACCATGGTCAGTTCCGTGGGAGTCTAACATCTTGATTACCACACAGTCTGCTGGTTCTAGAACTTCAAAAATTTGAAAGAAAATGGTACCTATTATGTATAAAGAACTATTTTAGATATACAGGCACACATATATTTTCATACATAGATACATGAACACTTGTCTTTGACAGAATCACTATTTACATACATCTACTTCTATCTTTAAGCAATAGAATAATTCTCAGCATGGCAGGATGCTTGCTCAGTGAGGACTCTGTAACAGACTAGCCTTCTAGACTATTGGATATGCCAAAAGCATATATTATGCAACTTTTTTATACTGCGTACATAAACTAAAATTGAAATGAGTATGTAACTAGAGTGTCCTAAGGAGATAATTTTAGTACATTGCTGCTGAATTGAAGTAGTGGTTGGCTGTCAGACAACTCTTGACAGTTTTGGAGAACTCATTTATACATGCAGAGAATTTATGTAGATATTTTAAGTTAGTTCTCAGAAAAGTAGTTTTTATTATTTATTTACTTATTTTTGGAGAGATTTTTACTATAGGGTATGTGCGCTCTCCAGAAATACAGAGACAGAGAGAAAGAAAGCGAGAAATCACCCTCCAGGGGGATGGTCATGCCGCAATCCCTTCTCCTCCATTCTCATCTCGGGATCTTGGGCACACATGCACACGCATCTGGCATGAGTTTAAGCCACTGGATCCGGGACTTGAACTGTGGTCGACTACATGGGAGTCCAGCGACCTCCACATAACCATTACGCCAATTGCTGGTCCCAATTATTTTAATCAATATTTAGTCCTTGGCATTTGAGAAAAAAGAAGTGATTTAAATGTTCAATTAATAAAAATGCTGCTTACTTGAGCAACACAAAACATTATTATTCTTGTGAAATTGAAGGAAATTATTTTGCTTTTTAGTACAAATTTAAGGAAAAATGTTACAATTGAGCTTAATACTGTGTAATGTGATTAAATAGCACAGAAGAGTCTGCTAATGAGGATGCATACAAGAATGTATAAAGAATATATAAAGATGAACTGTTTTAAAACAGACCTCTGATAATTCAGAGTTTTAAGAATTAACCTTTTTATTTGGAGGTATTGTAGATGCACATACAGTTGTAAGAAATAATTCAGAGAGACTGCAGATGCCCTTTACCCAGTTTTCCTAAATGATAAAATCTTTACACTATAATAAAATACAAAACACCAGGATCTTGACATTGGTTGAGTCAAGATACAGAGCATTTCCATCACCAGAGGATTCTTGAAGTTTCTTTTTTATAGCCACATGCAGCTTTCCTGGTCCCACTTCCTCCTTAAGCCCTCACAACAACTGTCTGTCATTTCTGTTATTTTGTCATTTCAAAAAAGTTATGTAAATAGGATCACACATCATGCAGTCTTTGGTGTTTTTTATTCGGTAATTCTTTGGCGATTCATCCAGGTTATATGTATTGTAGTTTTTTGTTTGTTTGTTTGTTTGTTTGTTTTGCCATGTGCGCTCAGAAGAGAGAAAGAAAGAGAGACAGATACAGTGAGAGAGAAAGTGAGAAATCACCCTCCAGGGGAGATGGCCATGCCACAATCCCTTCTCCACTCTCCTCCCAGGATCTTGGAGATACACGCAAGTGCTCTCGACTGGCATGATTTTTAAGCTACCAGTTATAGGACTCAACCTGCAGTCAGCCATGTGGCAGTCCAGCGACATGACCACTGTGCTATCTGCTGGTCTTTGTTTTTTCCTGAGTAGCATTTCATGGTATGAATGTATTGGTTTGTTAAGCGATCCACTAGTTAAAGGACATCTGGATTGTTTCCAGTTTGCAGCTGTTAGGAATAAAGATGCTGTGATCATTCACGAGTAGATTTTTGTATGAACATAAGATTTCATTTCTCTGGGATAAATGCCCAAGAGTATTAACTGTGGGTCATATAGAAGTTGCATGTTTAATTTTTTTTTTTTTAAGAAACTGACAAACTGCTTTCCAAAGTGGCTGTACTATTTTACATTTAAACCAACAATTTTGAGTGATTCACTGCATATGCAATCCGCATTTGGTGTTGTCACTCTTGTTTTAGCCATCCTAATAGGTACATAGTGATGTCTAGTAGTGGTTTTAGCTTGCCTGTCCCTAATGACTAGTGATGTTATGCATCTTTTCATGTGCTTATCTTTCATGTGTTTATCTGCCATTTTTATGTCCTCTTGGTGAAATGTCTCTTCATGTCTTTGCCTATTTTCTAAATGAGTTAGCATGTATTCTTTATATATTCTACTATGGATGGTAGTCCTTTGGATGTGGTTCACAAATATTTCCTCTCATAATTAGAGTTTAAAAATGGACATTTAAAAATGGTGATGTGGTTAAAGGTGCTGGACTCCCACATGGCTGACCGTGGTTCAAGTACTGGACCTGGCAGCTTACTTTCTCGCTTTCCCTTTCTCTCTGTCTCTCTCTAGTCCAATTAAAAAATAATAACAAATGAAATTAAAGGGACCAGCAGTTAGCTTAATGGCTATGTTGCTGGACTTCCATGTAGTCAACCGCGGTTCACGTCCCAGACCCGGTGGCTTAAAACTCACGCCAGGAGTGTGTGCGTGTGTGTTCACGATCCCAACAGGAGAATGGAGGAGAGGGGATTGCAGCATGGCCATCCCCCCTGGAGGGTGATTTCTCACTTTCTGTCTCTGTCTCTCTGGCGAGCACATGCGCCCTATAGCAAAAGCCTCCCCCCACCACAAAAAAAAAGAGAAATTAAATAAATAAATAATTCTTTTAAAAATGTAATAATGAACTCAGTTTAAAATGCAATAATCTGGTGGTGATGAGCACTTTAGACCCTAGAGTTTGGTTTGCTTTTTAATTTAGGCTACACCATTTATTAGTTGCGTGATCTTGAAAAGTAATTAAATTTCTCTGTGACTGAGTTCTTCATAAAATAGAAATTATAGTAAGAACAGCATCTCTCTCTCTTACTTTTGCTCTAAGGTGTGTGCACTCACCGCAAAGAGAGAGAGAGAAAGAGAGGGCGAGAAAGCACTCTTCAGGGAGGATGGCCACACTGCAGTCCCCTCTCCTCCATTCTCCTCTTGAGATTTTGGGAAAATACTCATGCACAGTTCCTAGCATTGCATCCAGGATGGGAACTGCAGGGTCAGCTCTGTGGGATCCGGCCACCTTAAACAGCATCCTTCTTATGGGGTGATTGTGAGAATTAAATGAGTTAATAATATAAATAAGGTGAACATTGGCTTATACGTGCTGCATATGTGGAATATGTGTTAGATATTATGTTATTTTTCAAAAGTACACATGAACTCATTTGCCTAATTGTGCTTTTTATTTTTATTACTTCATAGTGGTTGGATTTCATCCCTCACTGGTCTTAACCAAAATATTCCTGTTGGCATCATGATGATAATCATAGCAGCACTTTTCACAGCGTCGGCGGTCATTTCACTAGTTATGTTTAAAAAAGTAAGTGAAATTTTGTCTGTAAGTTTTTATAGTAAACCTTACATGAATTTCTATTTTTCTATTTTGCTAATGAATTCAGTGTAACCTCAAGCCATTTTATCGTTGTTCCTGTTCAAGTTTGCTTTTTATTTTTTGTCTCGTCCCTTCATGGTCACAGAGTTAGCTTGTGGCTTATTTGATGTAATTATTTTTCTTTTTCTTTTTTTTTTTTTGCTTTATAGTTTTGTTTTGTTTTTGGAGAGTTTTTTGCTATAGGGCACGTGCGCTCACCAGAAAGACACAGAGAGACAGAAAGCAAGAAATCACCCCCCCCGGGGGGAGGGATGGCCACGTTGCAATCGCTTCTTCTCCATTCTCCTCTCGGGATCTTAGGCACACACACACACGTTCCTGGTGTGAGTTTAAGCCACCGGTCCGGGACTCTAATAGCGGTCAACCTCATGGGAGTCCAGTGACATAGCTATTACGCCAACTGCTGGTCCCTGCTTCATAGTTTTTGAATGAAGAAAGAAATGGGAATAGTAACTATGAGAGGACTTCAAAAGTTCACAGAAATATGTAAAAAAAAAAAAAAATCCTACACATGGATTTCATAATTGTTTTGCACCATAATAAAATAGTGTTTAATTTCATTTTCCATGACCTTTTTGAAGTACCCGTGTATTTGTGTAGGGTTGGTGTGAGGGTTAAACGCAGCAGCACGTGCAAAGTGAACAGTGCTGTGCCCTCTGTTAATTTAGTTCTCCTTTCTGATCTGCCTGACTCTTACCATTTTATACTTAGGGTCTGGTTTAGCGTTTACTTCTGTTTAATTCTTTATCAGTGAGCATTTTGTCAGAGAAACAGAAGAGAATTAAGGTCATTATTATAAGGAATTGACTTATGTAGCTTTGAGGGCTGGCTAGATGAGTCCAAAATCTGTAGGGCAGGCCATTAGGGTGGGCAGGCCAGAACTCTCAGAAGCTGAAGCTCCAGGTTAGAAGTGGAATTGTTTTCCTTCTCAAGGAACCTCTGTTCTTTTCTTAAGGCCTTTCAGTGATGCGGTCAGATAAACCCAGGTCATCCAGAATACTCTTCTTTAAAGTCAGCTGATAGTAAATGCTAATCAGGTATATAAAATACCTTCACGGCAACACCTAGATTAGTGTTTCAGTTTTTATCTCGTTTTTCCATGTGTGAAAGAGAGATAACCACCCCTGATGGGGTCCCCATGTGGGGATCTACCCCCCACCCCCAGCCAGCCCGGGTCACAGGCACACACGTGCTCCTGGCACACACGGAGAGGTCCTGAGACAAACCCAGAACGGTCCCATGTGGGTCCCGCTGTGCCACTGCTGTGCTTCCACCTGGCCCTGGATTGGTGTTGGCTATGGGTACTGTGATAGCCAGACTGGCATAGAAAGCTGCCCATCACAGCATCCGTTTCTGGGGAATTCTTTCAGTGTTCCAGATATATCATTGCAAGTGTTTTGTAAAACTAGAAATATAATAATTTAGGTTTAGTAGAGAGTATTGTGCCGTGTTGCAGGTTTCATTTATTTGTTAAATGCAATTCGACCTACTTGTAGTTCCCTGAATTTGCCGTGTCTTTTCCTGCAACTACAGATGAACATGGTATCCCCACTACTTGGTAGTTACCTTGTCTCCTCACCCCTTATTCCTTCACTTAGCTAACTATATTGATTGAGCAGACATCATTGCCTATCAGAGGCAGTTCTGAAAAAGACTTGCTTAAAAAAAAATCTAAACCTTGGTTAGATGTCCTTGTGCTCCCTATGCTTTTCGCTGTAACAGCCATAAAATCACTAGATTGTGGGCCCGTTTATTTCTCTTCTATATCAAAATGTGAGCAACTTGAGATCATGCATGGCCCGATGCCTTGTGCATAGTGCATGTTCAATGGATGGGAAATAAACATGGCGCCTGAGCTGGGGCAGCGAGGAATGTGAGGTGGTGGTGGGAGTGGAGGATAGAGGAAGATGGAATCGAACATGTAAGTCTAGTTACATGCTGCAGGGTCTAGAACACTGAGAAACATAAACAAGCTTGGAAACGTTCTCTTTTTTTCTCCCCTCTCCAAAGAATGGTGGTGAGACATAGGAGAGCTTGAAAGAGCGGAGTAACTAAATTGATCTGCTTTGTGCTTTAGAAGGATTATTCTGGAATACATTTGGGATTTGTAGGGCAGGGGTGCTATATTTGGAAAAATTAAGGCTTGGAGGCAAGCTAGAAAGCTGGTTATTGATGATGGCTTGAACTAAGGAAGTGGCCACCATTATTACCATACTAAGGACATGTGAAGTAAATGTAGTCGAGAGATAATGAGCAGTTAATGATTAATGACTTGGGTGTGGCAATAGAGGACAAGGAGAGGCTCAGGTATGACACCCAGAGGTTTAGATGATGGCCATTCAGAGAGAGTAAAGAAGATCAGGTATGGGTATCAAAATGTTTCCAACTTTGAATGGGGGGGGATTTGAAATAGGGCACAGGGCCAGCCGGTGACATGGTGGTTAAGGTGCTGAATTCCCACATGACCTACTGTGATTTGCATTCTGGACCCAATGGCTTGAAAATCATACCAGGTGCATGTGCCTGTGAGTCTAAAATACTGAGAAGAAAATGGGGGAGAAGGGATTGCAGGGTAGCCACCCACCCACTCCCACCCCCAGGGGGTGTTTTCTCACTTTCTCTCCCTCTGTTTCTCTCTATCTCTCTCTGGTGAGCATACATGCCCTTCGGCAAAAACCTTTAAAAAATAAAATACTGGTAGCACATTGAAGTAGAAATACTTAGTAGACGTTTGGATATAGACATTAGGAACAAAGAGAACTTTAGGCTGGATTTCTAGACTGGGAATTATCAGCCTGAGGAAAGAGAAGCCTAGAACATGTATGGAGTGAGAGAGGGTACAGAGTGCACACCCCATTGTTATCTGCTGCAGGGAGAGAGGGGGGAGCCAGCAGCGGCAGCCACCATGGGAGAGTGTTGTGTAGAGATGCTCAGTGCACTCAGGGTGCAGGAGAGTGTGGTCGCTGCAGCAGTGGCTGAGCAGGGGACCCCATGTGCTCTCCAATCTGTGACCTGCAGTGTTTTTCTCTTTCTATTTTTTCTTCCTTCCTTCCTTCCTTCCTTCCTTCCTTCCTTCCTTCCTTCCTTCCTTCCTTCCTTTCTCTTTCTCTCTTCGTCTCTCCCCTCTCCTCCCTTCCCTCCCCTCCCCTTCCCTCCCCTCCCCTCCCTCCCTTCTCTCCTTCCCTCCCTCCGTTCTTTCTTTTGTTCTTTATTTCTTTCTTTCCTTTTCTTTGGAGAGGTTTTTTGCTATAGGGCACATGCACTCGCCAGAAAGACAGACAGAAAGCAAGAAATTACCCCCTAGCGGGGGATGGCCACACCACAATCCCTTCTCTTCCATTATCCTCTTGGGGTCTTAGGCACGCACGTACACACGCCTGGGGTGAGTTTAAGCCACTGGGTCTGGGACTCGAACCATGGTCGACTACATGGGAATCCAGTGACATAGCCATTATGCTAACTGCTGGCCCCTCTCTATTTTCCAAGTATATAAATTTTCAGGACTAACCCATGGAAGGAAAAGTTTTAGAGCTGTGCTTTTATGCCAGGGATTTAAAAGAAGTATGATTGTTTTCTAAAACAATTATTGATATGGAAATTATATAACATGCTTTATGTTGGTTTCTTTTTATTTTTTAATTTCACACTTTAAGAAAATACCAGTGACCTCTTTTGTCTGTCAATGCTGTACTGGTCCTTAAACTTCCCTGGGTCTCATATCGCTTATCTTGGGGAAAAAAGGAGTTTAGAGGAAATAATTTTCTGTATGACATCATGAAGTACAACAAATACGGACAATGCCAGGGGACTTCAAAAAGTTCATGAAGAAATAAAATTAAAATGTGAGTTTATTTTCATTTTCAGAGGGCTGGTGTGCTTGTGTGTGAGTGACACAGAGTGAGAGAGCATCCCCAGTGGGGTACGCTTATGCTACGATCCTTCTACCTATCAGGATCTTGGGCATGCACGCACACATGCCTGGTTCTTCACAGCACTGGGGCTGAGATTCTAAATATGGTCACACGTGTGGGATCCAGCCTCCTATAAACGATGCTTAATCTCTGTGCTGTGGGTCCAACCCAGCACAAGTTTATTTTGGCACAAAAAAATTTAAATTTATGTATAGTTTTTCTATAATATGCATTTTGCTTCTTTCCTATTAGTTTCCTTTCCTTTCCATTTTTTTCTTTCCCTTTCCCTTCCCTTTCCCTCTCTTTCTTTCTTTATCTCTCTTTCTTCTTCTTTCTAATTAATGTGCCAGAGGGCATGTGCACTTGCCAGCGGGACAGA